TAACCTAACCTAGTTATCGAGGAAAAAATGAAAAGTTAGCTGAAAATCTCGTTTTTACTTGATAATATAATGATAATATTTATAATTGCCTGAAATAAATGCAATTTTAAAGTTTTAATTCTTATTTAAACATATTAAAAAGTTTTACGTTCATTATTAATAGAGATTGAAACTAAATATTTTTTTATTTCGAAGTTGAAATCAAGGCACATTCACTGCCAAGTCAGTTAAAAATTTTCCCTTTTATTCGTTATTTCTTATTTTATTCAAAGTTTTTGGTCAAATTCCAAATTTTCTCTCAAACCGTATACTTTTTTTTAGTATAGATACTATTTATTTACCTCATTATATGCTGCAAAATCTAATTAATCACGAATTTCTAATTTCATGTAGTCTTGTCTCCGATTGTACCTCCCAAACATCCTTAAGGAAACCGACCAAGGCAGACAGACCCTATGCCAAGCAATACTCTAAACCGCTAGGCTTTGATGTTCGACTTATCATCTATTATTAATTGACCAATGGTCACCGGGTATATATGCATATTCTCATGGAGAAAATCACGCCAGTCGAAATGCCTTCCTCGGACGACCCGGTTGTCGCATAAACACGTCATGAGTCACGTATTTTCCGGTTCCTGCCTGAGAGCAGTAGTCATTTAACTGTTGTTAAAATGCCTCTCGCACAACTATACATATGTATCTACCTACCACTACTATCTCGTACCATAAATACTATTACTACAACTACGCAAAGTAGGCATGCACAACACAGAAATGGTATTTAACAACGATGATTCTTTCCCATGGAAGAAGAGATCGGAGAGAGAAGGTCACGTCAATTTTCGGACCGCAAAACACGCGTCTTTTTCTTTTCTTTCCACACTGAGTGTTCCGTTTCGAGCGGTAATGGTGCGTTATCATACGAATGCGTAGAGGGGTCATATACGTTTTTGAACTTTTGATCTGCAACTCGAAATTTCGACTTTAACTCGATATATTCACTTGCAACTCGAAATTTCGACTCACATGTAGTTTAAATGATTCTTATTTGCTATTCAATTGTCTTAGGTTAGGTTAGGATTGAGTCAAATTAGGTTTAGTTTAACTTTGAAAACAAAAGAAACTCACTTTGTGTTGTCTGTACCTGTCATAGTCCCATGATCGTAACCTAATCGAACATGTACAATATATCAAATTAAAGATCTAGACAAGCTACATTTACTAAAAAAGAGTGCGGGACGATCAATAACATGACATACCTACTCGAGCCTAACTAAAACGAAAAAGCCGATGAAATTCTTTCTTTTTACTTGCTATTGGGTAGCATAATGATAGATACAGTTGCCTGATCGTGAGATTTAGAAAAAGAACCTTCTTGGGATAATTTCTTTAGAACATTAGGTATATTATGGTATAAATAAATTAAGAGACCATAATATAATCCCTTACATCTTTTGCACATTATGCCCTCGGAGAAAAGAATAAATATCGTAGCATCTGGAGTTGAATAGCGACCACCCGTACTTTCGAAGTCTTCGGGTTGGGTTATCTATCGATTTTTGTAATACAGACGATATTCTAAGCACTAACAATAATACTTGCAGAACAACAGAACAAAAACAACTTATTGAAATCAATATATTATCAAGTATCTGCAAAAATTTTTGTTATTTTTCCTTTCTACTGACGCATATACGATGCAACAAATTACACGCGAAAAATAGCGAAAAATCGAATTGGTAACTCCAAGGCGAGGCGTAACCGTAAATTTCGTCCCACGCAGTGTTGTTTATTAGCCCTGAAATATGTACTTACTTATATGCTCTCTTATACCTCTAGGGGTTTAATTATAAAAATACTAAATGGATTAGTGCGATATGTACTATATTTTACGACTTTCAGTCAAAAGGCAAACTGGTTTCTAGTAATTGAAATCGCAATTTTTACCCATTGAAATCTCCTTATGCTGATGTAAGGATAATATTAAATATAGAAGATAATGTTTTACAATATAATTGACAACTAATTGAATCGTTCCAATTATTACCTACGTATGTAATTTAGGGAACTTTTTTTCACTACACCGTTTAATATTCTTAATCAACATGCGTTGAAAATCACGTGTAAATTTTTCCGAAAACATGGATTTCTATTCTAAACACTGTGATTTAACGCTGCTAGATAAATATGCGATTTTTTGTATGGTAACGGACAAAGGTTCACACTAACTCGGTACGATTTTGGTTTTCAATGATTTGGTCATTAAAAGCTTTTACAAGTGCTTAAAGTTGATGTTTCTTGTAGGACACGTATTTCCAATAGAAATTAAAAAATTAAAAAATGGCCTTCGACAGGCGTTAGAACAAAGCTTTATCTATCTTACTACAAAATTTCAAACCTCTATTCCAAATATTAAACTCATGACATCTAGAATCGATAAGCATGTTTTCACTCTACGACGCGTGTACTACTGAATCCCCTTAATTGCTTTTCATTACAATGAAAATATCGGCACATTTTACTCACAGACCTTACATGTCCAAGCCCTTTTAAAAAAGAAAAGAAATAATACCAGAATTCCAATCATTATTAAACAACTTAATCAAAACAAATCACAGTAGCAATATGTTTTTTATTTTTGCAGAAAATCTTTATTATTTTAATTTATATTTGTTGTTGCGCTTTCTACACACAGTGCATATGTATCTAAGTATGATTTTGGATATATGTCCTCAAAAGGTCAACAGAAAAATCTGAACGTGACCTTATCAGGAACGAACTGCACGGATCGGACAAAGGACGCTCTAAGTCATACTTCGTGTAATTCAAAAAGCACAAAACCGGACACTACCTTTTCTATTGGCGACCCTATTTGGTGCCCATGTCCAAGTACGGTTTTCTGTGCGTGTAATCCGAAATAAGATATCAAAATCTCGTTAAATGGGTTTGTTACAATCACCACCTGTGGATGGTCATTTCGGATACAACAAAAGCGAGCGTCTTTCTACCGTGTGCGATAACCTTTTACGCCAAATTGATACGACACCGTATGCAAATGTGGTTGTAAATCAGGGTTGTCGTTGATGATTATTTGCAGACAAATTTATTGCGGTGCATGTGACATCGCAGGTTCGTCCCCCGTTCCGAAAATAACAGCACGATGCCCAGACACATTATTACGATGTCGGTCGGTCGGTCTCTCTTGTCGTCGTTGGGGACTTCTTCTTCGACACATATACCCACACACGTATGTACATACATATAGATACAGATGTAATACACACACACATGCATAGTTGGACGCCTGAACAAAATCGGCTTTGGTTCATTAATGAAGCAGACGTTCAGGTTTTCGAAATTACACCACCACATCGCAAGACCATTGAAACAAGTGAATACCGCGAATACAAGCAACTGCGCGAATCGCCGAGAAAAAGTTTTCCCTTTTCGAACGATTCACTTCTGAGAGACTGAGACCCGTGCAAAATTTAAATCAAATTCTTTCTGGTATAATTATTTGTTTAGACACCAAGTTATTTTACACTGTCACACATTATATAGAGGAGACTTCGGTCAGAATTTTATTTTTTATTTTTCTATAAATTCTGATGAATGCGGCGTATACTGTAAATTAACTACTAGAACATGTACCATCTATTATATAATTCGGAAAACTCCAAAAACTTTGCAACTGTGCCAAGTAACCCCGTATGATTTAAGGCCTTGTACTGCTGTCTCACAGTGATGCAAACGAATCGACGTATAGATCGCTGCCTCAGGCATACGTTAACAACAGTAAAGTAATGTAACGTTTCATTTGTTTCCTATTTACGCTTAGTTAAGTAAAGTCAACTCCTTGCTTTTATTTTTATGTCTTTGTGAATGCTAATACAAAATATTTGTTGTCTATTTAAGGAATGCCTTAGATAAAATTGAGTCCCTTACAAATAATTTTTTAAAATGGTACGTCGACTTAAAAATGGCAAAAAAATCATAAATAGTAAGAATACACCCAAATAACATTAAAAGGAATCAAAACCAATCCTCAACGCAAAACAAATTAACAGCCATTTTATCGTTCTTTGAACTTAGAAAATTATCATATAATATACATATGTTTATTTATGGATTTTTTCGGTAAATTATGTACATACATAAATTTACAAACCAATCGTACGTGAAATATTGTTGAATGATGAAACTTTTTATTACTGCCTACTAGAAACGAAACGATCCAGTATATTGTAAGCAAAACTTGTTTATGAACCAAGCTAAATTTCCATGAATTGTCCCATTACGAAAACGGTTTACGTACAAAAATACCCGTATATTCGATACCATCGTGTTACTGCTCACGTACTTATTGTTTTTAGAACCATGATCTGATTTTTCTTGAATAAAAAAATTCGTGTTAATTTAATGGAGCAGATGCCAAAAAAGGTCACGTTTGGAATTCTGAACAAATCCAAGCAAATTTCTCTATTCGACTCATTTGTTTACAAATTGTAGTGAAGGTCACGGGATGCTATCTGTTATCAACTGTCATAATTAATTTTTCTTTTGTCTTTTATTTTGCAGATGAATCATCGATTTCCGTCAACAGTACCGAGTGCTTTTGCAGTCTGGGGAGGGTTCGTGTGGCTGTTTATTTTAGTAACGAGTTTGGCAATGATGCAGACGACGTTCTGCAAACCGACGTCGTCACTCGAGTCCTCGTCCATGCCCCTCACTTTTCACCATCTCGCCAAAAGGTCCTTCTTCGATATCGAATGCAAAGGTGTCTATGACAAAAGCATATTCGCAAGGCTCGACCGAATCTGCGAGGACTGCTATAACCTCTTTAGGGAACCAGAACTTCATTCGCTATGCAGGTGAATTATACGATAAAACATGTTACTATCCTTTCAGGCACGATCAAAGTGGCATTTGCTACGCTTCCTGTAGATATTTGTTAATCGATACCATTGAAGCTGGATTAATACAGTGGCCAAAATGAATTCGAAATTTCCGAAACCAGGGACTAATTCTGTGCCAGTTAGAGCTCATAACCTGTTGAATATTATTTCAATTCGGTGCTAGTTTGAATAACTAGAGTCAAACCTTCAAGATTAGGAAATACGACAAATGGCGCTGTAAACGCCATCTGTAGTACAGTGCTATATTTTAGGATTACGTATGCTTCAGCAAGGTCCATTTAAATATATGGATATCTACTTGCTGAAACGAATCCCGGCGTAGCTAACCTCAATGTGGTAGGCACGTTACCACAATCGAATAAAATAATAATAAACATCCATAGCACTGTACTACAGATGGCGTTTACAGCGCCATTTGTCGTATTTTCTAAAACGCGCTGTTAAGGCAGCAGATAAAAGTTGGTCTGTGTTCTGTCGGGCTGCCTGCGACGCGCTGATGAGATCCAAAAAGATCGAAATCGCGATCCGCGTCTGGCAGCTTCAACAGAATACAGACCACTTCGAATTATTTTATTCTTCAAGATTAGATTCAATATTAAAAAGAAAAACATAGATTAAGGCGAAAAAAAGGTTATAGTACTGGCGACGAATGGATCTCGGGACTGCTTGCATTGCAGCTGAATATCTATACCACTGATCCATTTACAGTTATTGTAATTTGGGTCACAAAGAAAGATTAATTATCGTACCTAGAAGTATATTTAACAGTTGGCGCTGATATCGTGTATATTTTCGGACTCTAAGGTGTACATGTGAATTGTGATGGTGTTATGGACCCCTAATTTTCTACTTTGACACCAAGTTAGCCCCTGAAATACCTCTTTGTTTGAAATTTTCTTTTGCCACTCTGTTTCGTAATTATAACATTAAAAAAAGGAACTTTTTTCTTTAGCGTTCGGCGCTTATTTTTCTGATGGTGAGCTTGCCTTGCCCTAACCAGAAAAGGGATAAATTTAACAAACACCCTATGCACAATTGGCAACGGCAGTCATCGTCTAACTTTCACGGGTTCAACTGGTATTTTAATATAGTGGAATTCGTTTATTATGACTTCGCCTATATTGACCAACCGTTTAATATGAAGTAATTGCAGTGTTAAATTTGGTTTTCATATTAAATTCTCTATATGTGGATGTAATGACTCCGTTTAAAATGACATATCGTTTATTATGACTGATTCTCAAGAAATCATATCCGGCTATAGTGACCCAAATGATTAATTATAACATTTTCGCTCATTTTTCTGACCCTTCTTATGTATATTGATATTACAATTCATCGTTCTTTTTATATTTTTCTGTCAATAATTATATACAATTTGTAGTTTTTCTCTCTATTTAACTTTAAATAACTAACCAAAATTGAAAGTTGTTTATTTTCTAAGACTTTTGCTTTGTATGACGCCCGCTTAGTATGACGTGTTTGTCATTTTCCTTCGATGTCATTATAAGCGGATTCTACTGTAATTTCTTCACATTAAACAATTGCTTTATTTGCAAACGAGTTTTTGAACGGACAAATGTCCATCGCGGATGACACCGGGACCACCCTAGCCGCTGAGAATAAATGACAAAAAAGAGTTAGCGTTTTTAATCGGCACAGGTCGCACACACATTAATTATAAACGTGTTCCGTCTCTTTCTCATACGTGTACCTATCTAAAGGTAGGCGCATTAGTTTCGCGTAAGGGACGCGTCACGTTGCGTCGTTTTATGTTTCACCTTCGGTTTGGGAAGAGGACCATAAAAATGCAAATCGCAGTAATAAAAATTAATTTCATTCGATTTCGTAACCTGTCCGATCCGATGACGATGACCTTCTCTTTCTTTCTCGCTCTTCGAATAATTTTACTTGTTTATTTATTTCTGTACACGTTTGCTTCGGTCAAAACGTCAAGCCGAGCTGCAGTTCAGCTTTTCTCAATGAGCGTCTCTTAACAAAAAATACATCGCACAGTGCCAGGAAAAGATTTCGAAAGTTTTTGCCAATTTGATGGAGTACGAAACGCAGCTTCGACTCACCCGCTGATAATTCGGTACGTTTTTGAAATCAAAATGCAAAACTCTATAATAAACTTTTAGTCATATGTGGTCAATGCCAACGATGAACTTTTAACTTTTCTGCAAATCGATATTGGGTAATAAAATACTACAATCCAACGTGCAGACAATTTTTTAATTGTCTACGGACTGAAAAAGATCAAATACACAGTAAAATGGCGTATGCTGATCGTATTTTTTACAGATACTTAAACATTGAATATCTGTAACCACATTAGAACCTCTATAACTCGAACATCAAGGAAGTCGCCAAAACATTCGATCGGCTTATAGAGGATTTTGACTTGTAGAGGTTAAGATTTGGTGTGCTTACATTGTCGGTAAATCCTTAAAGTCGATAACTTAGTTTTCTTCGAACTATAGACGTAATAAGTTTCAAATTATCGAGTTCTAGAGGTTGTAAAATAAAACATTGCTATGAAACAGAAGTTCAATTCAATTTTTCGAGTTATAGAGGGAAAATATATACCAAAATGACTTACAGGGACTCATTAATTATTTAGTTTACTAATAGAGGATTGAGATTTCGAGTAATGGAAGTTTTGGGGCTTGAAGGGAAGGTTACCAAACATTCTTTGGAGTTTTGGAGGTTTTCAACTTATCGAGGCTAGACTTAAAGAGGTTCTACTGTAATAATACGAAATAATTTCATATTAGTAACCATATCTGAAACTGTTATATCATTATCGTATCTATATCCAGATCCGAAATTTCGTATCCATAACAGCGAATACAGGGGGAAAACAAACTCTTCGAGTATATTACCTGTACTGTCACTTGTTACTTATTTCTTAATTAAAACTAAAATGCAAACTGTAGAGTTCTTAATTGAGAGATTGAACTTATGCTATGTTAATAACTGACTGTTTATCAATTTAAAATTAATTCTAGAGTACGTATACAGTGTGACGTTATCGGGTGATCATATGGCTAGGTCGTGTTGAGCCCTGGATTATGCCATGACCATACGCGTAATGATTACCCTGATCTTAAACCTTGAAACCATTTGAGTCTATCAGAATTTCCAATATTTTTGGAAAAAGCAAGAGGCTGTAGGAGTTCTTTTCCAATCCAATTGTAGGAATAAATAATTAACGCAAATAATGCACTGGTTAATGTGCGAACTAGTTTGGTTGTAAGCGGTAATCATTTCGACCAAATCTTCGCGGGTTTCCGACACTGTGCAACGTTCACGTCGTGAATATCCAGGACCAGATGTGGTCAATGAAACTGTTACGATGTTAATACGAGACCCGTTTATGTGGCGGAGCCGAAACTCGATTCAAAAATGAGGCGAATTATTGACGCAAATTGTCAATTTGCATAAATCACAACGTTCCGATCGTAAATTGCCACAAGGAGACAAATTAATTAGCTTATAATAAAATACTGTCGATAATAAAAACCTTCCATTGTATTTCGACTTTTGTCTGTGCCATTTGAATTTAATGTCATCAATGTGGAAAGTTTTATTTGTAAATGGATAAGTCAGTTATCAATAAATTGTTTCGGATTTTTCTTATAGATTTAAGATTATTAATGTCACAAGTAAGAAATTTACTCAGTCAGGATTGTTTAGGTTGTGACAGGTGTGAAGAATAATAAAGTCAATTCTCCTCTAATATCTAGGAATTTTTGGGATGTACCAGGTCTGTTCAAAAAGTATCGTTTCATAGTAAACGTTACGAGATATTATACACTTGTACCAACTTTTTTTTCAATCCTCAAAGTACTTCAAAAAATAATTTTTTGTAATCTTCTTCGGCTCCTCCTTCAATGCCGTCTTTATCTCCTCAATCGTAGCGTGGCGTCGTCCTATCATGGGCCTCTTCAGTTTCGGGAACAAGAAAAAGTCACAGGGAGCCAGATTAGTGTTGTTTTTAGCCAAAAATTCGCACACATGCAACGTTGTGTGAGCAGGGGCGTTATCATGGTGCAAAAGCCAATTTTTGTTCTTTCACAAATCCGCGGAAATTCAAAATACGCAATACTTTTTGAATAGACCTCGTACACCACGTCGTATGAATGCGACTCGTTACTTTTGGTTATTGTTTTAGAAAGTTTTTAAAGTTGCATAATATCTGTTTTTTCAAGTGTTTTTATTCTATAGCCCGACAGGACGATAGGTTACATTGAAAATGGTTTTGCAATTAATTGTAGACAATTCTAAAGCCTTCAATTTGTGCCGTGATGAATCCAATTTTGTCAAAAAATTATTGTTATAATTGTAATGGTGATGGCTTTTTAAAAAAATTATCAACACTAAATTTCTATAACAATGAAGCAATCCTTTCTGGAAGCTATAAACAAGGGGTTAAAACTTTTTTGACATTGTTTTTTGTTATAATATGAGAATGGAAGTCTTCAAGAAGAGACATTTAAACGAAGTCTGCTTTTTTTAAAANCGGCTTAAATGTGAAGTTGGGTGCAAAAGAATACAATTAAATCCTCTGTCGGGAAAAAACGAAATGACTTTCCGCAGAACCCTATAGAATACCTAAATTGCAATTTTCTAGAACTAAAAAACATTTTAGAAAGGGCTAGCAATTGGTCCATTTTGTAACTTTTTGTTAGTCCCAAAAATATCGGGATCAGGAAAACTTCATCCCGGAAATTTCAGGACTGAAAAGCTTTCGAATACACTAATACAGAATTTATTATTTCATAAATATTCATTATTTGCCAATATATTGCTGCGAAAACTGTAACGATAACACTAATATCTGTAAATGATCGAATCATTGATATGATTCCCGTTGATGGAACGACAAATTACCATAAACGTTTCAAGAACTTCATAGACGACGGCAATTACCGACCAATGTCCAATAATAC